GTGATGTCATTCAACCCCCGATAGTCAATGCAGGGGCGCAGCGAACCATCCTTCTTCTCCACAAAGAAGAACCCCGCCCCAGCTGGAGAGGAAGAGGGACGGATAATGCCTGCTACCAGAGAATCGTGTATATACCTCTCCATGGTCTCTCTCTCCGGACCGGACAGAGAGTATAGGTGCCCCTTAGGTGGAGAAGTGCCAGGCAACAGGTCAATCGCACAGTCGTACGGGCGATGCGGAGGCAGAGATGAAGCTCGGGACTTACTGAAAACCGCTCTCAAGTCATGGTAAGCCTCCGGTACATCCGCCAGGCTCACCGGCTCCTCCTGCAACACAGAACAAGACAAGACTGGGGAAAATGCAGCACCTAAACACTGAGCTAAACAGAAAGGGCTCCAAGTCAAAATAGACCCGCGAGCCCAATCAATATGGGGGTTATGCTTAACCAACCAGGTGTGACCCAACACCACTGGAGCGGTGGGCGAATGAATAAGGAGGAATCGGATCTCCTCGGCATGATTACCAGACAAGGTTAGCGTGACGAATTTAGTGACATGGGTAATATTAGTGAGATGGGTGCCACAAAGGGTCCTGGCAGAAATAGGTTCGGCCAGGGCAACGGACGAAATCCCCAGAGGTGTAGCCAATCTGGAATCCATGAAGTCGCCCTCCGCTCCAGAGTCGATTAACGCGGAAACTTGGAAGACAGCTCCCTCAAACTGTAATGAAGCTTGAAACTCTGACCGACCACCAGATGGCAGTCGAGTAGTAGTGACGCTCACCATGCGCTCTCCCTTGCGTGATAAGCGTCGCCCCGCAACAGGGCACGCCGCTGCAACATGGCCCGCCTCCCCGCAGTAGAGACACAGCTGATTGGCCAGGCGACGCCGTCGCTCCCCTATGGTCAGCCGTGCTCTCCCGACTTGCATGGGCTCCTCTTCCGGGAGGATGAGGTGTTGAGACAGCGTGTCGCACGCCACTACTAACTCCGCCCCAGTGACGTGCTCGCGGGGAATCCCCCCTCTTCGGTGCCGGAAATGGAGAGCCATCCGGTCATCGACCCGAATGGCGAGATCGACCAATCCATCCAAGCCAGAAGGCAGCTCAAGGGAATAGATCTCGTCCTTCACGTGCTCAGCCAGGCCGTGGAGGAAGTGATCTGGAAAATCGATTGTTCGGAGAAGAAAAGATGAACGCTACCATGAGTCCTGTGTTGTGCCAACAGTGAAGCATCCTGAGACCACCCATGTGTGGGGTTGCTTTTCAACCAAGGGAGTGGGCCTTCAGGATTTGGCCCAGAAGCTAATATCCAGCATGCCAGAGCGAATTGTAGAGGTTATGAAAAACTATGATGGTATATTTTTTTTTGCTAATAAAAGCCTTTAAAACTTATATGTACTTTGTCACTACTATTCTGTAATAAAAGTTATTCTTCATCAAGATCTTCGACGTCTTCACTTTTTCTTACAATATGCTTATCATTGTTTTTTAGTATACCATAGAAACATATGGAAAAATAATCTACAAATACTGAAGTAGCAAACTTTGCAAAATACAAATTATATGAAAACAAAATTTATGTCAATGCCAAAACTTTTGGCCATGACTGTACACTACACACACACACAAATATAAAAAATGTTGTGAAGACCGAGATGGCCAATGCATATTATATCATGATATTTGATATTTCAAAATGTGTATATTTGCTCTGCAATAGCTTATACAAGATATTTTTTGTTCAGTCAGAGGAACCAGCATTTTAGCCTAAGAATAAAAGTATTACAAGGCATGTTTTTCACACATGTAACATATAAATGAACAATATTTTCATACTTTCATAATAATTTCAACAATTTTTGTTTATATACTGTATATCAATATAAAAAAATGTAGCAATATAACAGCAGTATTTTTTTGCTAAAACATTTTAAAATATAAAAGATGTTATGCTGGACTATAGTGTTTTCAGAGTCATTGATTCAGTGATTAGAATTGATTCACTTAAATTTTTTTCTGTCTTAGTTATGATTTGTGAGATGACACAGTCTTTGACAGTTTTTAGGGAAAAGCACTTAGAAATAATCACCATATTCACAATATTTCAAGAAGTTATAGTTTTGTCCCACTGTTTCTTTAGTTTCTGTTGGATCTGATCTAGAGGCAGCCTGTATGTTTTCACGCTGTAGCACCTATGTTGAATACCGCTGTGCATCTCCCTTTCACTTTCTTTTTTTTTCTCACTGTCAGTTTCTTTCTGTGTCCACAGGAGTCGGAAGATTCAGATCCGGAACATTCCTCCTCATCTCCAGTGGGAGGTGAGTGTGTAACCTCTCGGGCAGAGAGAACAGTGTGTGTGGTCAAGACTCTGTCTGTCTCCTCTGGGCTGCAGCGCTTCTTTCTCTAACTCACGGTGCGTTAGGGAAGCTCCACCCATACACACACAAGTACACTTCCTCTGCAGTCCATGTGAATCCGTCTGGAGAGAGTTCAGCCCTGGTGACCCGATTGTAAATCCTGATGACATCATCACAGTCAGCGCTGGCCCACTTGCACGCTCTCACACACTTGTGCATGTATTTGGACACTGTGCCTTTGTATTCTGCATTGCTCTTTGGAGTTTAGCAGTTCACTGTGTAAAAAATGGTGTGATTATTCAATATCATACCATATGAGCAATTACTACTCACACAAGTGGCTGTTTTGGTGACATTTGCACACCAGTTTTGAATCTGAGCATGAACAGGCACTTGACACAAGCTTTGAGGAGCTGAAGAATATCATTGAGTAAAAAAATTCTCAAACAATGTCTCAAACAAAGCTATCTATTGATTTAAAATATGATTAATAAATAAATACACTTTTAACTTTAACAGCCCCAGGTGACTGAACTGTTGTTGTATGATGAGAGCTACAGTACCGTTCAAAAGTTTGGGGTCAGTTAGATTTTTTTTAATTAAGGAAATTAATATTTTTTTGTAGCAAGGAAGCATTAAATTGATCAAAAGTGACAGCAAAAAAATAATGTTACAAAATATTACTATTTCAAATAAATGCTGTTCTTTTGAATTCATCAAATAATTATGTGAGAAAAAAACATAAAAATATTAAACAGCATATATTAACTGTTTTCAACATTGATAATAGTAAGAAAGTTTCTTGAGCACCTAATTAGCATTAGAATTATTTTTTCTGAAAGACTGGCATAATGGCTGCTGAAATTCAGCTTTACCATCACATAAATAAAGCATTTTTTAATTAATTTAAACAATACATGTTTTAAATAGAAAACAATTTTAAATTGTAATATTTCACAGTATCACAGTTTTTACTGCATTTTCAATCAAATAAACAAGAGATATAAGAGACTTCCACCAAACTTTTTAACGGTAGTGTATGTATACTTTGTGTTAGGCAGAAAAATAATAGTATACAGGGTTTGATATTTGGCATAATGGTGAGTATAATGATGGCATTTTCATTTTGGGGTGAACTATTCATTTTATTTTCCATCTCCTATTTTCTGGTATTCAATCTAAAAACAGTTTATGAGGTGTTTTGCTGTTTGTGTTTGTAACTGATTGTTCTCTTCTCATTGCAGGTTTTGGACAGCCTATTAGCACAGTATGGTACTGTAGAAAATGTGGAACAAGGTAAATGAGTTGCCATAGTCTAAAGTGATTATACTTACATGTATAGTATACTAAGTTTTTTTTTTTTTTTCTGTTTGCGTAGCATGCTAAATTCCATCTAAAAATGTTCAAATCCTTTTGTAATCAACATGTTTGCAGCTTGTACCAGGTGGATGGTATAAGTGAATTACCTATTTATGGACCCATTAAGATTATTTTCTGTTGGGGACTTTGCCTTACAGCACATGTGCTGATGTAGTGTGGATGAGTCTAAATTACTAACAGATTGTGGACTACAGAGGCAATGTGTGCATTTAGATCACACGTTATCCAAACTTAAATCACATCAACACATGCTGCCAGTGGAGACGTCTCAGTTTTGATGTTCTGTAATTGTCTTTCCCAAATGAGAGAGAGCGTGAGAGGGAGGCACACAGGCAGGGCGCCTGCGACTGAGTGTGAATGAGAGGAAGTCACAGACAGAGGGATGAACTCCGCTCTGGATGACATGAGCAGCATGATGGAGTGGAAGTGTGTGGATTGAAGTGGGACAGAGTGGCGAGGCTCCAGCTGTAACGTGTGTAGGGAGGTAGGCGCCTGCGGTCTCTTTCTCACTCACAGCTGAGACGGATTGCGTACCTGGTACCTGGTATTAACATGCGTCTCCTGCGACTACTTGAGATTTGATAGAAGGGTCTCTGATTTAGTGACTAAAAATGATTTTATCTGTGTGTTAAATTAATGTTGTTACAGTGGTGCTTGACATGACCCGTCATTGTATGTTGATATCAGACCCAAACAGCTGTTCATAATCCAGACAAAGACACTCTCATCTTAGTAAACGTGTTAGTGATATCCAGAATGTGAATGAGTCAACAATAAAGGAAAATGTAAAAAAATTGTTGTGTAAAACACATATGCAGAGTTCCTAGAAATTTGTATTTATGTTGGTTTCATATAGTTTTGAAAAAACTTTTTTTTTTTTTTGCTATTTCCAAGACAAGTTTACTTTTAAGTGTTTATATGACTTTAAAACTGTTATGTGGTTTAACAATCAATTAAAAATCTTGTTCTAACACCTTGAATATATGTGACCAGGGCCTAAAACTAACTTTTTGCCAGACCTGCCAATGGTCGGTGACTTAAGGAAATTTACCGGCCAGAAATATTTTTTACCAGCCATGGAAAAAAAAACAGGCAGTTATGACACCAAAATTTTAGATAATAGACAAAAAAATCAATTCCAATTCCAATTCGATTCCAATTTCGATGCTGCTAAAACTACTAGCTTAACCAATAAAAATTTAATAGGCTACATTTTTAAAGACTAGTAAATAGTAAGTTGTAAAATAAGAGCAAATCAAATTACAAGCAATAGCACAAAATAGCCAACAAAGATACAAATAGAAACGGTGCATTTCAGGCAGGTCTAACAGTGATTTTCAGGTAGCCTACAGAAATGTAATAAATTATTCTAATCAAATAACACTATAGTATTTATATATTTTTTAAAGTTCAAGAGCAGTGAGTGATTGTTTTTTTTCTTCTTTGTCCTGTTTTCTTTGATTAGCATTAAAAACGCAGACAACAGCAGGGTTATTGGAATTCTGTGTTTATCACTTTAACACCGTGTCTACACCGCAGCAGCTTGAAGTTGTCAACACTGGATGCGACAAAACGGCCGTTGTTTGGACTATTTTAGAAACAGAACGGGGAATCCGTTTACTTTCGGCAATTTGTCGTGTCGCGCTGCGCCACATCCTATGTAGACAATATCACTGATTATAATGGGTTCTATTGTCTTGTGACACATTGAGTCGCGCGTGGTTCATGCCCGTTTTTTTCTCAGCTGTTCATGTTCACTTAAGAACCAACTACTTTACTAGGATACTCACAGAGATGGGCATTTTTGACATAATTTTGTGTGAATTTGTCCGTTCAAGCACAGGAAGGAAGCAGAGCTCAAGACGCGGCTTTCAGGCCGAGGCTTAGGATGTTTAAACTCCCCACTCAGTGCGAGTAACGCGTGTCCTTTTGTGTGTTCTAGCTCTTAAATATATTTACATTGCAAAGGCTTAAACTTTTGTGATGAAGCAGCACTGACCCGTCAATTGTACAGAGCGTTGTTCACATTTGTTCACATTTATGTTCTCACAACATTGCACTGTTAGAATTTATAAAATTGTTACCGGCCATCTGGCGACTCACACAGTTTCATATACTCGCCAAAGCCGATTTTTACTCGCATTTGGCGCTTGGCGAGTGTTAATTTTAGACCCTGTATGTGACATTTAACAATACTGATTTTGTTTATTAATTGCTTATTTGAATTACTAGTTCTGGGGAGACACAGCTTAATTAACCTTGATGAAAAATTTAAATTATTGGATAATTTGTCATAATAATAATAAGCAGTGAAGCAATTTACATTTTTTATAATTAATTTATAATATATATGAAAAAAGACTGTGCTGAAGTACTTACAATTAATTTAATGAATAAAATAATTACTAGTCAAGTTTTCATTTCAAGAATTTCTTGAAAGTTTCTTCAATTAACTTTTTTTTCATTGTGATATTAAGACACATTTTTGAAAAAATATGAATTTTAGTTGTGAAATGAACAATGACGTTAATAACATTCTCTTTATAGAAAGGGTGTATTTAAGCTATTGTATGCATGAATTGCATTTTTTAATAAGTTAATAGATCCAGACAAAAAAATGGCATTTTAAAATGACATGTCATATCATTAGCCGGGTTTCCATCCAAAGTTGCGAAACTTAGGCGCAAAATTTAAATATTGCATAAAACATTTGCAAATAAGCTCAAAGACAACAAAATTGTCACTTTCTGATAAACTGGGACTATAAATCACTAAGAAAAGTAGGAGAAGCCACTGAATATAATAATTTTCAAATATAATAAATTACTTGCACCTCAGAGCTAGTAGACGAAACAAAGTAATGCGGTCATTGCTTTCGGAGGTGGATGCCTGCTGTTTGGGAATGCAGTTCTGGGAGGCAATTATACAGAAGTACTTTGATGACAGACTTTGCGCAGGCATTTCAAAAATGGCCATAACAAAATTTCAGATGCTATGGAACGAGATTGGTGCGCTGGTTAGTGAAGTTATCCCATCCCATAGTGCAAAGTCACACTTTTTTGATGCGCATGGAGGAATTTATTCGCAAATGCGTTTCTCCATATCCCATTATTTGCATTAATCCTTTTTTGCAAAAGTCAAAAACCACCTCAAGTGAGCGGCAAAACTTTTTTGCGAATTGAAGGATTTTTATTCAAAATTTGGCGCTTCCATCACTCGTTTCCGATCATGCGATATGTCAGAATGCACATAAAAACAGGCTGATGGAAACATAGCTTATTGTCTCAAAAACGACAGAATTCTCAATCCAGTCTGAATGAATGAAATCACAGACTATAGTAATAATTATAACTCCAGCATCATTTAGAAAACGAATCGTATCCAAATAGTGTTGTTGTGTTACTTGTGCGCTGCATCTTATGAAATAAATATGAACGTGTCGGCATGACGTAAGGGCATTGCTACTTCTCGTCGTTCTTTCTCAGCGCTTATTGCATGATGTGTCTTCATTGGTGACACTCACTGGTTCTGAGATTGATCGCTTGAGCTGTCTTACAGCGAGGCTTTGTGGTTCTCTTCATGTGCGAAGCTCTGGATTTCTGCCCAGCCATCCCACTCAGCTTCCACTGTTCTTCCAGACAGACTGTCTGGTCCTCTAGGCACACAACTCCATCTAATCAATAAAAAGGCAGGCTTTCCTCTTAAAAATGCCATGCACATGCACATTGTCTCTGCAGTGGCTTCTGTCTGTAATTATTCAAATGAACCAAGAGGAATTCTTGTAATGTGGCACAACCTTCATTTAGCCCCATTTCACACTCTTCAGAGAGTTTAATACAGCTTGACCTTAAGAGGTCCAGATCTGTACGCAGGTGCTATTGTTAGCTGTTGGATGCGTATAGCTGCATGAACTCTTCAAGTGGAGGTCTTTCCCTCATTGTGTGTGTATTTAGATGATACACAGGGCTTTGATCTACGGACGTCAGGGTTGTTTTGTGCTTGCCCTGTGAAGTACACATCTGGCCATGGCACAGTAATCCTTAGTTTATATGCTGACACTGAGACACACAAGTGGCTCTTCACAGCACTAGTGTAAAACTGCATTTGTTTGTCTGTATGCACATAATACAGAAGCATGCAGTCTCACATTTATGAATATGATCGAGCTCCCTTTTTATAACTCATACTTTCTCTCTCTGTATTCATTCTTTTTGCAGTTAACACTGATACAGAAACAGCAGTGGTGAATGTGACATATTCAACAAAAGAAGAGGCTAAAATGTAAGAATCTAAGTATGAAGGTTTTTTGGGGATGGACAGTATGACCAAAATCATATATAAATAGAAATATTTAAACTAATAAAAAATTAAAGCGTGAAGCAAAATGACAAACTTAAGCTACGATTAAAATGAAAACTGAATATACAAAAAAGTCAAAATAGTATAAATACTATAATAGTAAATAAATAATATATTAATATAACACTGGCATAAAATTGTATACTATTACTAAACTTAAATATGTTAAAAACAATTGCTCGTTATTTAAGTAATTACAAGTAACTACAAGTAACTGATTAATTTTTTTGTCACATTAATAATATATATATATATATATATATATATATATATATTTGAATCCAATTCTTCTTTGTAAAAGGCAAAAAGGTGATCATACTGATTTCGAAGTTAAGGATTCATTCGTTTGAATATACATTGAACCAAAAACTATCAAAACATCTTAGTTGATAATTCAGTATACTTTGTTTTTGACAAAACATCCTATGTTTCGGTAGTGACAGCACATTTTCGGTAGTGACAGTAATGCTTTGGTAGCAACCACATCACATTATCAGAATACATTTTTCCCCCTGAAAAAATGTAATCCCAAAATGTTTCAATAAATCAGTCCCATTGTAATCGGAAAAAGTTTTCTTCATCGTACATGCTTTTCTACAGAACCTCTAATGGTTGGCGCATTTTTAACTGTCACTGGTTATACACCGTCATACTGCCCTGCCTTATTTTTTGATTTACAAAAGAGCAGTACAAAACTCACCATCTGTACGCTGTCATTGTATTCCACTGATCAGCTCATTCTGATAAAGCTCATTCTGATTCTGATTCTGATTCTGATTCTGATAATTGTCCCCCTCTGTGTCCAGAGCTGTTGAGAAGTTAACAGGACAGACCTTTGAGGATTACTCCTTTAAAGTGTCTTATATTTTGGATATGGATGCTGCTCCGCCTCTGCCTGCGACCCGGAATCTTCGGGGTGGAAGGACATCACGGGAACAGGACTCCCAGCCTGGGACCTCTGCAGGCTCCCTGGGGCCCCGACAGAAACAGCCAGACTTCCCCTTGCGCATGCTGGTGCCCACGCAGTTTGTGGGAGCCATCATTGGCAAGGAGGGGCTCACAATCAAAAACATCACCAAACAGACACAGTCTAAGTGAGTGAGAGAGTGAGATCCTTAAGTGTATGGAAGGGACATCTGCGGTTAATGAGATTCAGAAGAATTCTTCCAGTGCAATGGAATTAATATCAATACAACTACTATTTATATAATGGTCACAATTTATTTTAAGGTCTAATTCTCGCTATTAACAAACCATTAACTACGACTTTCGCCTCAATACATTACTAAACTAATTTGCTGCTTATTAATAGTTAGTAAAGTAGTTGTTAAATTTAGGTATTGGGTAGGATTAGGGATGTAGAATATGGTCGTGCAGAATATGTGCTTTATAAGTACTAACAAATAGCCAATTTGTTAATAATAGGCATGCTAATAAGCAACTAGTTAATAGTGAGAATTGGTCCCTATACTAAAGTGTTACCTATATAATTAATTGCATAATAAATGTATTACAAATGTGATATACACTACCATTCAAAACTTTGGGCGTGGTAAGATTTTTTGGAAACATTTACAATAATGTTTCATTTGTTAACTACATTATTTAAAGGGGTCATATGATGCTTTTTTAAAGATCATTATTTGGTGTAACAGAATATGTTGACATGCTTTAATGTTCAAAAAACACATTATTTTTCAAATACTGTACATTATTGTAGGTCCTATATGCCCCGCCTCTCTCAAACGCTTCGTTTTCTACAAAGTCCCTCCTTCCGACAAGCGCAGTCTGCTCTGATTGGCCAGCTGACCCAATGCATTGTGATTGGCCGAACACCGCAAACACTCGTCGGAAATGTAACGCCCCTTACCATAATCGCGAGCTTCATTTTTCAAAATAAATGCAAAGACAGAGCCCGAAAGGGGAACAGAGTCGCGCACACACACACACACACGATGCGCAAAACTCCGCATTTGAACAATCAATAGCAAATACTTAAACTAATAACAAAACAGTAGCTGATTCAGAAGCGCCAGATTGTCATAGCAAAGTCAGAATTACCTCCTCTCCTAGGTTCACGAAACGGTCGTCCATAAAATGCATTGCTGTTCTGTTGTAAGTAATCTTAAAGATTCCTAAATGCATCTACTTTCGGAAGGCCAAATAAAGTGCTTTTGCTTTCGCCTAGAAACACACAGCATCTCCCTGACATGCTGCTTCAACACTAACTGCGGTTACTGAAACCACGCCTTCTTTCTTTGCGTGCACATTTGGGCAGCATTATGCAAATATTTCCACATAGTGAGGTAGATATGTGGGGGCGTGTTAGAACGAGCCGTTTTAGGGGGCGTGGCAGAGTCTTAACTTTGATAAAGAATATCTCTTTGGTTTTGAGACTTTAGTCTTTGCAACTTCAGGGATCTTATCTATGCACAATCAGCTTGTAACACTCCAAAGAGAAAGGAAAACTTGAAATCGCATCATATGACCCCATTAAGTTTTGAATATTAACTGACATTAATACATGCTATATAATTATTGTTCATGTTAATTAATATAGTTAATGTTAATAACTGAAACCTTATTGTAAAGTGTTACTGAAGTTTTATATATTGTTCTGTGTATGTGTGTTTCACAGTCTTAATGGTTTGGATTAACCCTTTAATTGCCGTATCCCTTAAAACCAGACTGCCAGACGGTTACTGTAAATGCATGTGCCCGCTGTGCACCGTTCTCCTGATGCCTCTGGGATGGCATTTGCACTGACGGCTTGGGCCCGCCATCGCTGCTTGCAGCTATATTTATTAGGGCCCAAGCCAGAAAGGCGCAGGGCCCTATTGATCCCCTAAGGATTATTATTATTTTTTTTCTATTTATTTTTTTTTCAACCTTCCGGGGCTTTTTGGGGGCCTTAACATATTCAAAAACTCTTGAAAATTTGCACACGCGTTGGAACCTGCGGCCATCAGGACGCCGCAGAAGCTGAGACCTGGGCGTGGTAGAGGGGCTCTACGGCGCCCCCTGGAACACAGCCGAAAAACTTGATGTATAGCTCACACATACTTGCACGTATTCATATGAAACTCAGTACACATATAGAACTCATTGAGCCGAACAACTTTTGCACTGCATGTCATAGGCTCCGCCCAACAGGAAGTTGGCTATTCAGGGCTGTGTAAAAAGTGCATGCTCTGGAATTTGATATACTTGTCTGAGGATTTCCAACCGATAGCCGTTTTAGGGGGGCGTGGCAGAGTCTTAACTTTGATAAAGAATATCTCTTTGGTTTTGAGACTTTAGTCTTTGCAACTTCAGGGATCTTATCTATGTACAATCAGCTTGTAACACTCCAAAGAGAAAGGAAAACTTGAAATCGCATCATATGACCCTTTTAAGATGAACTAACAATAAACATTACTTCTGTCAGGACCACTATCGTCAAAGATGACAGGGATAATACTGAGGGACCTTATATATGAATGCTTAGATAGGTGTTGTATTCCTATAGGTAGATGGGGATCAGCTGAGAGTCAGCTGATGCGAGCTTGACTAACGTGACCTGCCAGAACTAACGCTTACGCTTGATTTCTGTTTTAAAGCTGAACCTTTGCTAATAAAGTTTTGAAGATCAAAAGTTGTATCTGGTAATAGTAAAGTTAATACAGTGTGAACTAACATTAACAAAGGTTAATAAATTCTGTAAAAATATATTGCTCACTGCTGGTTCATTAGTTTATTTATTAACTAATGTTAACAAATTTGATCTTATGTTTTACAGATTTTTTTTTGTCTTTGAAAGAAGTCTTATGCTCATCAAGGCTGCAATTATTCAATAAAAATACAATAACAACAATAATATTGCCAAATATAACTTTTTTCTATTTTAATATATTTTAAAATGTAAAAATGAAATGTATTCCTGTGATGGCAAAGCTGAATTTTATCATTATATCAGTCTTCAGTGTCACATGATTAGACACAAGAAGCATTACTTATTATTATCAATATTGAAATTAGTTTTGCTGCTGCGTAATATTTTTGTGGAAACATTATAAATGTCTTTACTGTCACTTTTGATCATTTTAATGCATCCGTGCTGAATTAAAATGCTAAATAAAAATTATTGGCTTAAATATTTTAAATGGTAATGTACATAGAAAATATGTCACATTTATTCATCAAATTTGGCTGTAAGCATGAACTCACAATGACTTTAAACACATGCTTGATGACATTGACAGCTCTTCCTGAAGCTTTGTCTGATCTCTGCTGAACAGTCATGTTCCCGTACTGATAGGGTGGACATTCATCGTAAGGAGAACGCGGGAGCGGCAGAGAAGCCGATCACCATCCACTCCACTCCTGAAGGCTGCTCCGCCGCGTGCCGCATGATCATGGACATCATGCAGAAAGAGGCTGATGACACGAAGGTGTAAGTCTGAATCTTCTGGAGTCACGAGACCTCTTTAAATACATCTCTGTGGTGGCCAACTTGTGGTCTTGCTTCTGTAGAACTGAGGATATTCCTCTGAAGATCCTGGCCCACAACAGTCTGGTCGGAAGACTGATCGGGAAGGAGGGCAGGAACCTGAAGAAGATTGAAGAGGAGACAGAAACCAAGATTACCATCTCCTCGTAAGTGTCTGTTGCATTTAATGTCTTTCAACTGGTGAAAACAAAGGAAGTTCATAATTGTTTCACTGTTGTGTCAAAATCTATAATGTTTTGTCACACTTCAGCTGAACATATTCCTCTGCTTCTATATGGAGGCATACATGATTACTTGGTTCACCATGGAGAGTTGTTTTGATAGGAATTATGGTGTTTTGTTGTGGCAATATTGATCAAAACGTGATCTGGACATGTGACATCTTGTAATGGGCTGCTAAGTGCTGGGATCTGGTTCAGAGCATCAGAGTACAGGTGGTCTTATGTATTTCCCAGAAATAATTGTGTGCTGGGCACACAGATAGCTTAGGAAGTGAGTCACCCAATTAAGCCCTAACCAGGACTCCTGACGTCATTGCATCTCTGTCCCTCTAAAAGCAGCCTCATTCACCAATGCTCATCGATACCAATTCAAATAACTTGCTCTTCACCCAGAGTCCCACTTACTTCCAGGTTGATTCAGGATGACTGTATTCATCACTGCAGAGATGCACTACAATTTGTCTTGGTATTCAGTTCAAGAACAACATCCAGCAAGAGCGATTAGAAGAAGAAGATGAATTAGTGTTATGTCTTTCTATGACGTGGCTCAGTCTCTGCTATCCTGTGCTTCAGTTAAATCATGCCATAATGGTAGGGGTCCCGAAATTTTGGGAATGTGGGTGTTGTGCTCGCTTTTTTAATGCTTTTTATTTATTTTTAATTGATAATTTACAATAATTTATTATGTGCTTTTATGTCTGTTCTTGCCGAATGCACAAAGCATCTCCTTCGCATAGAGTTGATCAGGTTGTTGATTGTGGCCTGTGGAATGTTGGTCCACTCCTCTTCAATGGCTGTGCGAAGTTGCTGGATATTTAAATGTAAATGTAAATGTAAATATAATAATTAATAAGACCTTGCCTTGCCTTACTTAATTAAAAATACCCTCAATTGGAACACTGCAGAATAAAAGTAGTATGTATCTTAAACATGTACCAATGATTTTACTCTCACCTACTTTTTTTGTCTTTCTTGATTCTTTCCACAGTTTACAGGACTTAACTATTTATAACCCAGAGAGAACCATTATAGTGAAGGGGAGTATCGAGGCCTGTTGTAGGGCTGAAGTGGAGATCATGAGAAAGCTGAGGGAAGCCTATGAGAATGACATTGCTGCTATTAACGTAAGTGTTTGTGGTTTTGATGACAGGAAATGTGATTTCCATCTTTAAGCCACCGTTTTTATGTTGTAATCAATATGTCAGATTTAACTCAAACCTTAGATGCTGATATGCTCTGTATAAAAAGCTGCTTATTGTGCGTCAAGTGTGATCAACCTTTAGTCAGCGTCTAATAGAAGACTTGGCAGTTAAATGCCTCGTCTGTTTACTCATGTTCAGTTATTGACTGTGTTTATAGGAAACAGCCTTGAGTCAGTCCATCCCCTGCCGTGCATACAGAGAACGCACTGTCATCCTGTCAACAGCCGTTCACACAGATGTGCACGCACATGTACACCATTCCCCGTTTACATGCATGAAGTCACTGCCAGTGTCTGAGGGAGGTGAAGCCGTAGACTGAGAGCAAATACTGCAACAATAGCATCATCATTCTCATTTACACCGGCGCATCCAGTGCCTCTCTTCATCTTCAGTGAGTCATTTATTTTGCGGAAGAGGCCTCTATCAACTACACAGATCAAATTTATGCGGTTTCATTTATACTCACGCATTAGTCAGTCCTCAGTCAGGCGTATGGTAAATTATTCATGCTTGGATCAAGTGTTTTTGCGACAGTTTCGTGTGTAACTGTCTGTTAGTTGATCCCTGTAACCTTCATTTCCTTTTGTATGAAGGCGGCGCAGCAGATGAATCAGACAGAACATGAAAAATTAGACATATGAAGTTCCCTGTCAAGACTAAACAGCATAACAGCATCTTATCTAAAAGCTTTTGCCATGATGCACCGGGTCGATGGAGCCACCTAGCGTGACGTAGCAATATTGCAAGACGTTATAACAAATATTCACATGGTTCATACAGCTCAGAAATACAGTGAAACTGAGAATTCTGTTTGTATTTTTTTTTAACTCAAATGAGATTTAGTATCATGTAGAACATGATAGCTTGAGGTCATGCACTGAGTAATCATTCATAATCCATGATGTCTTGCAGCAACAAACCAACCTTATCCCTGGGCTAAGCCTGAGCGCACTGGGCATCTTTTCAACCGGTTTGTCAGTATTGCCACCAGCTGCTGGGCCCAGAGGCGTCCCACCCATACCCCCAACTGGCTACAACCCTTTTCTTGTGAGTACAAACCACAGTATGGAACTACAGCATATTTGGATGTTTCATCCTCAGGAATGTGTTATTTAGCAGGTCAAAATTCAGATTTGAACAATTAGCTTCATGTTGCAGGATGCAGTTGTGGAAATTAAATAGAAATGATAGAAAAAGATTTTACCAGTTTGTTATTATACAAATAATTATTAATATATATTTATAAATATATGTATATTATTTTGCATAATATGTATAATACATTACTGCCTCAAGTAATTAGACACTAATAAAATCAAGGGAACCAGGAAAACACACGTAGCTGAGGAGGTAGACATCAACAGACAATCACAACAAGTCGACCAGACCACCACAAACTGAACAGACTGGGACTTTTGAACACAGGGCAATCAGGGGAACACAGGTGCATGAAATGAGTCAATTAAACTAAACGAGGACAGGAACATGACCAGATAAGGGAACACAGGAACAGAAACAGGGGTAAAACATAACAAAACAGGTCCATGATCCTGACATATCACCCCCCTCCCGGAAGGCGCGTCCTCGCGCCGTAGAACAACAGAGGGGGGGAACAGGTGGGAACTAAGAAGGAGGCTCGAGAGGAGGACGGACACCCGGGAGGGGGCCAGCAGACAGAGACCAGGGAGGTGACGATGGAGGGAGGAGCCAAGGAGGAAACAGGAGGAACTTGGAGCAGGAGGCGGCAAGCAGGACCCAGGCCACAGCCATGATGGCGACCCATGGTGGAGCCGACGGAGGGAGGAGCCATGAACGAGGAACGGCCGCCGACTCCAGGGGGTCGACCAACGGCGGCGGAGCAGGTGGCTTCATGACTGTACGAACCCTAATGTGATGATCGGGTGCGGGTCGGGTGCGGTTATCTAAATCAGACAAAAATACAGGTGCGGGCGGTTGGCGGGTGGATAATTTATTTGAAGCTGCGGATTCGGGTGACGTTTTAGCTCATCCGCGCATCACTACCGTCCACGGCTTGCTCCCTCGCGGTGGGCATTGTCACCTGGTCTGACGGGTGGGGCTTCACATCTGGGGCGATCCTCCGCTCAGTCGCTCGGCATTGCGCTGGCTCGTTGATCGCGGCGGTGATGGGCCCTCCGTCATCGGTGGGCTCGGGCTGATGCTCCTCACCGTGGGGAGATGGTGGGCTGGGCACTGGGTCTGGAGTGGATCTCCACGAGAGTCCACTCCACAAAGGTGGCAAAATCCTCTCGAGGACCATCTTTGGACGACGGCGCGGTGTTCAAGCTCGCGTCATAGAATGAGCAGAGCGCATCGTCCGGGTAGCTGGTGGTGCTAGCTAACAGCCGGAACAGTCTCGTATGGTCCTCGAGAGATCTGTCCCCCTGCTCCAGCAGGAGGAGGAGGAATTTCGGGCAGGTGAAGGGATCCATAAGGGGAAACACAACGGAAACAAAAACACTGAGAGAAAAAACGGAAACAAAAACGGAGGGTAGACACACGGAGGTAACTGTATTTGGTCTGGTCTTCTGTCACAATACGCTGGAGCACGGGCACGAGGAAACGAGGAGACGTGGAGTACATCAACAAGGAAGTTTTAATAGAATCAAGGGACCAAGGAAAACACACGTAGCTGAGGAGGTAGACATCAACAGACATTCACAAGAAGTCGACGAGACAACTGCACATACTGGGACTTTTGAACACAGGGCAATCAGGGGAACACAGGCGCGTGAAATGAGTCAATTAAACTAAACAAGGACAGGAACATGACAAAATAAGGGAACACAGGAACAGAAACAGGGGCAAAACATAACAAAACAGGTCCATGATCCTGACATATACACACACAACACAGCACAAATTCCTGTAGGTTGCATTTTAAACATTTATTATTAATAATGTGAATTTGTGGAAATACCCCACATGTTGAGTTTGATACTGAATAATTTATTCTAAAAATTACATGTATGTTTAAAAACTAGAAAAGGAATTTCTTTAAATTTTATTTCATTTACATCATTAAATTCAAATTTGAAGTACTACATTCTGTTCTGTTTGCTAGTTCCATTTCAGGAATTAAATGGAAATTTAATCTGAATTCTCAGTGCAAATCTAAATGGTGCTCTATCCTGACATTTAGTCACATTGTACATACACCGTCCCTTTCTCAGTGAGCGGCGCTCACCTTAGCATGCAACTACTCATGTTTGAGTTGTATAAACCTTCCGGTCGGTTAGTGTGCTGCAGGATTCCCCTTCATATTTAGTGATGAGTCAGACAGGACAGCTTATGGCTCACGGATGAACTAATGAAGGTAGAATGAGTGCGTGGGTGTGTGAGATGGCACTCATTACTGAATGAGTGTTCGCTGCTTTTTATCATCCTCGGTAGTACTGTAAAACTTGATTAGTCATTTATTGTAAATTGTTACAGCAGGTTTTTATTGTTGCACTTCTTTGCTTACGGTAAATCAAGCTCTCTTCATTACATTAGTGACTTTGGCATTTACTGTCAATAACAAATCATACTTGCAAACTGTTGCTAAAAATCAAAGTTAGTATTCTCACCAGCTAGCTGGTAATATTAGTAACTGGCCAGCTTCTCTATTAAACACTGCATATGAACAGCATGGAAATGCCCTTTGAAAAAATAGTTACACTTTGAGTTACAAACTAAAGTAGCTAAATAGGTTGCAGTTATTATTATTTATTTTTTTAATGCAATTTATATATATATATATATATATTAGGGCTGGGCAAGTTAACGCATTATTATCGCGTTAACGCATTAATTAATTAACGCCAACAATTATTTTATCGCACAAACACAGTTTTTATTATTATTATTATTTTGAAAGTCCGTTGCTCACTGGCTCTGAATACACATACAGACAAACCATGGGTCACAGGAGGGGTGGGATGTTGATCAGTACTGGCTTGGGTTTAGCATCATCACGCGTCTCAACCAATGAGAGCATTTGGGGTGGGCCTAAGACTGCAGCAGTGCTCACATGAATGATCCCAATAAAATTATTTAGGCTAAGCATCAACATTCACAAACCACTGTTCACTGTTATTTTCAACAGAAAAGCAAGCATGGGCTGCTGCGTGCATGGTTTGGCATGGCAGAATGCGAGCAGCGCTCCCATATTATCACTAAAAAGCTAACATCTCAGTTCATCGCGATTTCATAAAGCTCTTTTATAACACAATGAGTATATGCACAATGAATCTTCCATAATGTCTACACTTCATGTGACGTGTTATAATGAGAGGATTCGTGAGCACGCAATTTTCAGCACTGCACAATAATTTTTGAGCGGTGAGTGGATTCTAACTTAAACACCTTTGATTGGCCATTGCGTTCCTGAAATCAACAGATATGCCTGTGATTGTCTACACAACGCGGCAAACACGCGTTATAAATAGAAACTGCCTATGTTTGCGTGTTAATCATTTCTATCTTATATTAGTTGTTTTTGTTGCTTTTGTGCAATAGATGAATAACAACTGATATGTTTTTAGATATTTTATGTTTAGATATTTCTATTTTGTGGAAGTCCCACTAATCATTTTATTCTCCCGTATCCCGCACACACACGAGTCTCTACGCACTCGCCCATCAAGTGTTGTCCCGCGCCACACTCTGTTGCGTTGGGTCCCGCAGGAGTGTAGGTCTCTACACAGAAGGTGCACGTTATAATGTTATGATAGAGGCTCTGGACTCTGAGCATAACTTGTTTTTCAATAATTTGTAAAAATCGACGCGTTTCAAAAAGGCGGGGCATAGAGGAGAAACAATAATGTACAGTATGTGGAAAATAATGTGTTTTTTTAACTTTAAACCGCATAAACACATTTCATTACACCAAATACACAAAATAATGTTCTTTTTAGCAGCATCATGTGACCCCTTTAAAGTAGGGCTGAGGATCTATTAAAAATGACTGTAATTAATCATACAGGCTTCTGTAGTTCAACATGATTAATTGCACCTAACATGAACATTTGTAATCATAAATATTTTTTTTTACATTGAATCTCCAAATTAATGTGGAAACAAATTCACACAGTATTTTAAATATTTGATAGTTATTTGTGTTTTTAAAGACTAAATGAGCAATATTCACTTAAACCCATTATAATGTAAAGACTAAATGTGCAATATTCACTTAAATCCATGATAATGAATGTCACATTTAGCTGTTCCTTTTATATAATGTGTTTAGTGATGTTTCTGTCTCTGTCATTCAGTCAGCTTTCTCTGTTTGAATTAGAGCTGGTGGTTCTTTTTTCCCCCAATTTTAAAGTTTATTTTGTGTTTATTAAAATAGTTTTTTTATTAAATTAATTAGTTTGTTAATTTTCTTTGTTGATTGACACAATAGATCAGCACTTAACCTACACAAACCTGGAGCTGCATTACAGTTCATGCTGGTCTAATCAGCAGGAACGTTTTGCTTACAAAATAAATTTGAAAGCATAAAAGTGAACTTGTGGACTGACAGATGAACTTAAAGGGATAGTTCACCCAAAAATGAAAATTCTGTCATTATTTACTCACCCTCATGTTGTTCCAAACTCGTAAGACCCTCGTTCAGCTTCAGAACACAAATTAAGATATTTTTGATGAAATCCGAGAGCTTTCTAACCCTGCATAGACAGCAATGCAACTACCATGTTCAAGGCCCAGAAGCGTAGTAAGAACATCGTTAAAATAGTCCATGTGACATCAGTAGCTCAACCGTAATTTTATGAAGCTACGAGTTAGGGCTGGGCGATATAGCTAAAAAATGTATCAACGATATAATGTTTCATATCGTTCGGTATCAATAATTATTGACATTTTTATAACCTTTTTTAAAACAAAAAGCAATAGAAAAAAAAATGTTTAAATTTATAAATTCGACTAATATTCAATCTTTATTCACAATCTCCTCATCACAGGCAGGCACAGCACTCAATTCAGCATGTGTTTGTGTTTGTGTGTGCTGTCTCCGTCACTCATAGCACGTGCCTATATCGTGCACTATATCAAACATTTTTTCTATCGATATCGAAGAAGCTGTACTGTCGATAATTATATCGATATCGTTTTATCGCCCAGGCCTACTACGAGTATACTTTCTGTGCACAAAGAAAACAAAAATAATGACTTTATTCAACAATGACTTCTCTTCCGTGTCCAATAATTATTGACATTTTTATAACCTTTTTTAAAACAAAAAGCAATAGAAAAAAAAATGTTTAAATTTAACCACTGTATTTATAATTAAAACAAATTATTGAGACAAACAACTAATATTTTTTGTTTTAACATGAGTATACTTTCTGTGCACAAAGAAAACAAAAATAATGACTTTATTCAACAATGACTTCTCTTCCGTGTCAGTATCTGCTGCGCATATATGCAGATTAAATAGGTCTTTATTGTATAGGTCTAATTGTCTCCCGAGGCCACAGTAGGGCGCAATGAGCAAAATAATGCAACAATTAATGACAGAATTTTCATTTTTGGGTGAACTATCCCTTTAAGGAACATCTCCTTTCTTTTCATTATTTACATGTGTAATAAACAAGAGCCAGTGAAATGTTTTTGCGATGTAAAACGTTTGCATATTGATCCATCTCATTTGTTCTAGGGTCACTCATCACAGCTGGGTGGGCTGTACGGTGTCCCGCCTGCTAGTGCCATCTCTCACCAGCACACAGTGAGTACTAAAACTGTCCAATAAAATGGATTGTTCTGGTTCTGGATGATGATTCCTGGTTACAGTGTTCCAGCCAACCAATTTTATGTCATATTATATCTTACAGCATATATTGATGTCTAGAGAGTAGGATGGCTGATATAATGCTAATATATATTGTATTGTATGTGCAACACAATTGAATTATGACAAATATGATGTCCAAAAACCCCCCACCTATTTTACACAATATTTATTCCAAACCCCCCTTTCTGTGAGTGACAACATCTGTTAATGAGCCAATTGGACATAGCTATCAGCTTTGCTGTAACCCAGTGCAACAGCAACATCTCATGTCATTTTAATAACTTAGTAGTTATTCACAAAATAACAACCTCTGTCTCGGAGCACCACAAGCTAATGGTGTTGACTTGAAATGCTGTTAGCTAGCTCTCTGGCTTCTTCAATCTTTCACTGTCGCTCATGCTGAGAGTCTGAACAATGAGTCATCAGTTTCCTATGGTTTACATTTTGGTGTCAGGCAGGTCAGGTCCTTTAGAAACAGATAAGAGGTTTGTGTCCTCAACATCGGTTTGAGTGATGAATGGATTGTTTTTGCCTCCGTACAAACCTGTGTGAACCTTCAGGCTTGACCGCCAGCCTGCGCTGAAGTGAGCGGTATCTCAGTGGGATTGTGGGTGGTTTGGGGAAACTAAAAGCAGTAAACAGACAGAGTGACGTTTTTCTAAAACACTTTTAAAAAGGATGACTCTACCTGACATGCTCAGATGGTATTTAGGACTCCCTGATTTACAGCATCATGTTGAATAAGAGGATGTAATAGTTTGCATGTTTCTTCTGCCCTCTCCTCAGCAGGCTCCTGAACAGGAGGTGGTCTACCTCTTTATTCCAACTCAGGCTGTCGGTGCTATTATTGGCAAGAAGGGCCAACATATCAAACAACTGGCACGATTCGCAGGAGCCTCTATTAAGGTAGGAGTTCCTGCCTACTGGAAAGCCACTGCTGTCATGTCAAATCTGTCAAATGAAAGTTCCTTTTGTGTTTTTGTTATGTGAAGCACAATAATCCATCTAATTTTCTGTGTCCTATTGCCGAGATCCTTGATTTGAATCTAACCATATCATGCTCAGAGTTGACCTAGTACCTCAGTGTGGGTGAGCCAATCATCCGTAACCTCTCTATTGATTCAACCAGTCTTGTGGGTTGCTGGGTAAACAGTAGGCGTGAGATAGTTCACCACCCATAGTTCAGCATGTGTTTGTAAATGTGTATTTTTAGGTGTCTGTTTCAAGCAATTAAAGTAATTCTTAATATCTCTGATCTAATGTATACTAAGAGAGTATAATAATGACATTTTGAAAGTGACAGCAACATTTTTAATCTTTTCTATATATTTCAATAAATGCTGACAAAATGTGAATTTGTATGTAATTTTACAGCGTGGTGTATTTTAACGCAGCATATGGTTTAAAGACATCTGGTATTTTACTGAATTAACTGAATTCATGGACACAAAATCAAAATACAAAAGAAACATTGAGAATTTAAACTGCTAAACCCTTGTTGATCAGTAATTGGAAACAGAGCCCTCTGGTGGCTGTGTGATGAGACATCAAGAGAATGAGCTCTATGATTGGTTCACACTTCAGATGTAGCTCTAGAAATAAAAGGAATATTCTTTAAAGCAATTTTGTTTCTGCATTTGTGGCATGTTGTTGATTATGTCAGAAAATAATGTTGATTCATATCTTTGTATGTAAAAACAATGTGTGTACATTAGGGTTGTGACGGTGAGGAAATTTTCCCACCGGTTATTCGACGTGTGACAACACCGGTAATACCGGTATCACCGTGGAGGCGGGGCGTTCCCTCTTTTCCTTGCTTTCCTTCGCTTTTAAATAGCTTGTAAAAGCGGCGTGCGCATTTTACTTTCACTTTGAAATAGCGACAATTCGGCGTAAAGCAATTGCTCGTTTTTAGTTCGTTTGAATTTTCCCTCTTTTCCTCGCTTTTCATCGCTTTTAAATAGCTTAAAGCTCATTTTACTTTCACTTTTGAATTAGCATTGAGCAGCCGCGTTCAGTTTTTAATTGTAGTGTCTGTTCTTTTACTGAACTAAATGATTTTTATTACTATAAAAAATCTAAACGACGGTGGGGGTCGGTGACGCGGTGGGCAAGTGACGTAACCGGTGTTGCGGCTTAACATCGGTATCACCGTCAGCACCGTCTATCGCGGCAAGCCTAGTGTACATAAATTTGTTATTTTTTTATGTTCAGATCGCACCTGCAGAGAGTCCTGATGCCACTCAGAGGATGGTCATCATCACTGGCCCACCAGAAGCTCAGTTTAAGGTAAAGGAATAAAATACAAACTTAAATCCCAGTATTAGTACATGACAATTGAAAGATATATTTTTGAAACTTAATCTTATAACTTATAGCCTTTAGCACTCTTGTAACCCTATTATGCCCCTGTACAATGGACATTGTCTTTGCTTTTGCATTTCAGGCCCAGGGCAGGATATTTGGGAAACTGAAAGAAGAGAATTTCTTTTCTGCAAAAGAAGAAGTGAAGCTGGAGACACATATAAAAGTGCCCTCTTCAGCAGCTGGGAGGGTCATCGGGAAAGGTGGCAAAACGGTGAGAATATGTTGAAACATAGTAGTTGTAAGCACGATCAGAACATTCGGTGATGTTCCAACATGGTAGGACTGCTTCATAGTAGCGGATATGGCATTAGGCCTCAGTGTGGCGTTTATTAAAAAACAATGAATGAAAAATTACAAAATGGGGGAAAATAAAGTGTTCTATGGGGATTATTTGTTTATGTACTTATTTCAGAGTCTGAAAAGCATATTTACCTTGAGCTTGAGTAATGTAAGACTTTCTGTTCAAAGGTGATTCAGTTTCTAATGCCAGACATACTATAGAATTCTGATTCGAAATAAACTCTCTGTTTACACCTTTTCAAACAACAAGATGTTGTGTAGCGCATCCAATTGCAGCTATTTTCTTATCGCAGAGTCAATATTCCTTTCATTATGCACCATTATAAATGGTTAAGTCAAAAATGTGTTTGCAAAAGTTAACAGTTATTCTCAGAATCCATAATAGCTTTCCAAAGAACAATGAAATGTTCATTGTTAAAGAATGGGAACTGATTAATCAAAGTTAATGTGGTGTGAAGAGTTCCTGAGAAAGCTAATACATGCCACCAGAGCAAATGATGGAAATGTTGTTATTGTTTTTGTTAATTGTTTTATATGTACTTGACAAATTTTCTCTGTGTAATTTGGTCAGCAAATTCACTAAAAGCACTGAAATGCCAGTGAAAGCTTTTTTTTTTTAAAGCGTTTTTAAAGGGAAAAAACTTTATTATGACTAAAGTTTGGTTATTATGTTATATAACTGTTACTTTTTAGTCTAAGGCTTCGAAGAGGACAGGCTGATCCAAATCAATGTGACCTGTTCCAGTCAGGATTATTATATGTTTCATGACCTGTACGTTTTGTTTCTAGCAAATATTTGGCTCTATTCATGGTGAGTAGACAGGGGTTGCAGCTTGGTCTTGACGTAAGTCATGTACCAATAAGCACCTGGATATGTGCTGCTTGTTCTTGTATGAGTCTGATTGAACCACAGCGTTTGCACATTTTGACCCAGCTGACATTATTGTTAGGTGCACTGTTAGATGTGGTGTGGTGTCATCAGCCTGTTTCTCTGAACCTCTTTCAGGTTAACGAGCTGCAGAACCTAACCAGTGCAGAGGTCATAGTGCCACGGGACCAAACCCCAGACGAGAACGACGAGGTCTTTGTCAAAATTAGTGGGCATTTTTTTGCCAGCCAGGTGAATTATGCATCACACATCACTTCAAATGTGGAGAGTGTTTGTTTTCACATTAAACTTGAAATTTCCAGTTCAGTAACTACTACAGAGATCAATCCTAATTCTTTTTTCTAATTATTTATTTTTTTATTTTTTTATTATTGCAGAATAGAACATGGTCAACATGTGTGACACAACTTAACTATATACAAAACCAGGGTTTGCATGCATAAAAAATAAAATGAATAACAATAATAAATAAATAAATAAATAATAATAGATAGGTAAAAATAAATAAAATGGGGAGAAGGAGGGGGGAGGGAGGTTGAGTAGATAGCACCAGCACGGATCTAAGATTCCAACTGCTCCTTCTTCCTGGACTTATAGAGCAAACAGTACAGCTGCTCTAATGAGATATTATATGGGAGATTTTCCTAATAAATTCTGCCCATGCCTTAAGTGTTTTTGGTTTGGCTTTATTAATTCTCGCTGTTGTGCATTCTAACAATGCAATATTTTTGAGTTCTATAAGCCACATTTTAAATGCTGGGAATGTGGGTTCATGCCAAATTAAAAAAATTATCTTTTTGGCCGCAGTTCGAGCAGTGTGGAGGATCCTTCGCTGGTTAACATTCAGACTGAGCTCAGCATCATCATTCAACAGACAAAGACTGGGATGTTTAAAGATAACCACGTCACACAGGTCTGTCAAGACTTGGAAAAACCTTATCCCAAAATTTACCAATATGTTGACACTCATAAAACATGTGCATATAGGTCCCCACAGTATTTGAATTACAGAGCGAGCAAAAAGGGGTAGGCAAGCGCTTCATTTTGTGCAGGACATATGGAGTAGCGTAAGCCTTGTGGATGAGTTTGTAGTGTATTAGTTGGTGGGCAAGATTTTTGGACATCGTTGGAATACTTTCCCAGATCCAGTCCCAGTTTGGTTTGTAATGGGCCAGTTCCTTTTCCCATATAGTAGTGATAGGGAGTGTGCCGCAGCACTGCTTGAGTAATCTGTTATAAATGAATGACACTGCTCCTCGTGCCTGAGAAAAATTCACACAGTCCAACAGAGGATGAGAGTCCAGGTTACAGTTCCACGGTAATCAATCCTAATTCTTAAAACATGATACATTGTGTCCTAACCAGCAGCAAATAAGTGCCCTTTTCTTCTATGTTATTATTATGTTTTGTCCTAACCAGCCACGACTGTCAACAGCACTGCATTAGGAGATATGTAGTCAGCTGTTTGGTCTTTAATTCTGTTGCATTGAGCTGGACAGCCCAGTCTACAGTCAGATCTCATTGGTATAAAATAATGCTTGCCTTAACTTTTTAAACATCAAATATGTTCTGATTGGCTGTTTTTTTTTGTTTGTTTGTTTGTTTTTTGCTTTGTACATTTCATTTCAACATTGCCAGCTATGTATATAATGTTTAAGGCCAGTGTCAGATTTATTTCAACAATAAATGTCATTTTTCTAAGTAAATTCGTCAACTAGGTTTGACCCACTAGGTTTGGGGGTCGTTAAAATTAATGAAACTAATTCATACTTTTATTCAGCATTACATTTTTTAAAAGTGACCGTAAATTAATTAATTGTTTTGTTTATTATTTTTTTTTGTTAAAGATTTATTTTGCCCATTTTTGCCTTTATTATGACAGGACAGATCAGAACTGACAGGAAGCGAAGTGGGAGAGAGATAGGGAATCGGGATCGGGAAAGGTCCTCGAGTTGGGATTCGAACTCGGGACGCCCGTATCGCGACGGTGCTGTATGTGGGCACGCTGCCCATAAGGCTGTCGGTGCCGACAAATTAATTTATTAATGTTACACAACTTTCAATTTTAAGTAAATGCTGTTTATTTGAAGTTTCTATTCCTGAAAAAACAAAAACATTTTTGTTTTTCCACAAAAACATTAAGCAGCAGACAGTTTTCAACATATAGTTAGTTTAAATTGTAATAATATTACTGTTATTACTATATTGATTAATTAAATGCAGCCTTGGTGAGCATAAGAGACTTCTTTCAAAACAATTTTACCAAGCCCAAACTTTTGCATGTTAGTGTATTTTTCTTAACTTTGTTCCTTGACCATGTAAAGGCTAACTGCATTAAATAAAATCACCTCTGATTGATCAGTGGCATGCAGAGCAGTGACAAAACATGAAATGTTTTATGTTGCCAAATTCACTCAGCCACCTCTCTCTTATTAAACAGAACCTGAAATCAAACATTTGCCATTATAAACATACTCTCCTCTGCTCCCACAGACTGCACAGAGGAAAATCAGGGAGATCATTCAGCAGGTGAAACAACAGGAGCAGAAGCACCAGCAAGGCGCCCCCGTGACACACCGCTCCAAGTGACCATCAGGGCAGCCCCAGCGGGCACCTGCCAATGAATGTAGCCCTCCCAACTGGAATCAGACCAGACCAGACCGGACGAAGGGGACTGGCCGGGCAGACCAGCAGCCGTGGGATCAAAACCAAAGAACTTCTTTCTGGGGGAGATGAAGGAGCCACAGGCAGAAGGGCTCTGAGTGCACTGCCAGCTTGGGGAGGGAGGGGGGAAAGAAGTGCAAGAAGACAAGTGTTCCTTTTATTGTTCAAATACACCCTGAGCTTGAGAAGAATAGGTATGGGGCGTCTGTTATCAGGATGGGAAACATCACGGTTGCCCCACGTAACAATTTCTTAATTTAGGCTTAATCTAGGGTTAACACAGATAAGAAGCTCCATTAACACATGTACACTGATGCATTTTGACTGAGTCGTGTTGCTGTTTTCTGGGGTAGGTAAAGTGTGGGTGTGCACTAGCAGTTGGCGACCGATTATTATTATTATTTTTTTGTTATTTTTTGATGCTCAGATTGCGATTTCAATGATTCTCAGCCGTATTCTCACCAGTACACTAGAACAAATATACTGTTATATCTAAAGCAGAAGCACGATTCTTCTTGTTTTGCACAAGCCATCAGGCGTGTAGTGCACATCGCGTACGCATATAACATTATGTTTTTCAGATTTCTTGATGATGGGACAAGAAAGTTGGGAAATGTAAATGACAGAACGTTTATTCATATCTTAGCCTGTTTGCATTTCGGGAAACATCATCCAACTCAACGGGTCCTTGTTACTTAGCCTGTGCGTGCCAACGGATGCCGTTAAAACATTTCTTTCTGTGCATATCTTTCATTTTTTAGCTTTTATCATTTGTAGTTTGTTCTTATTTCTGTCCAGCTCTTACACTCCCTTTTTATTTTTCTGCATTTAGTCATTTCATTGCCACCGCATTCTTGTGGCGGCAGTTATTACGAGACGGAGTAGGTATGTGGTAGATGTGGCTTAGGAGTCACCACCCCTTGTTTGCTTTTGGGGGTATGAAAAGAATATAAAGCAAGCACCAGTGTCTGAAAGACAGTGCACCTTTACTGGCTCGGGCAGAACGAAATCGAATGTGCACCAAGAACTCTGCCTTAATCTATGCTGAAAGGAAACGAAAAGACGGGCGACTCAAAATGTGATTGGAGGGTCAGGTTGATGTGGGACGGGGAGGCACCTTATGACCTGTGGTACACACACGACCGCGTTTGGCTTTAAATCTCTTTGTCAGGGAGCTTTCTAAACGGAATGACAGCTGTGAATGTACAATAAGCAGCCTTTTAGAAAGAGCACCACCCTGTCATGTTCAGTAAGCTGGTTGGTCGGCGAGATTGTTATTGGTTTGTTTGTTTTTTACCAATACTCGGGCTGTTTTGGGAAACTGATTGACTGTTTCAACAGGACGTGCAGGCATGGATATCCCTTTGTGCTCGTGGCCTTTAACGTCACTGGTCTATGTCATCACAGACAGCTCCCTCGCCCAATGAGAGCTAAGCCTCATCTTCCAGACGCAAGGTTTATGCCAATACGCACAGCTTCCATTTGTGTGTATGCGTGTGTGTATATAGATATATATATATATATAAAGAGAGAGAAATATTTATGAATCTATTTTTTTTTCCTATTTTGTGACGAGAGCTATTAATAAGAAACAAACAGAAAAAACAAGTCTTTTTTGGTGGAACACTGCCATGTTATTCTGAGGGGAAGTGTTTATTTTCTTGGAAGTAGACTATGACTATTGGTAGTATACTAACAGTAAGAACAGTAATGGATCAACACTTTGATCAGAATGTGATCGGTGCGCATGTCAGTATTGTGATCTACCTCAGGCGTCAGGGTACCTCAGTCCAATCTTTTAAGTTCCCTTTTTTTCTCCCCACATTTTGTATGCCTTGTAAACTGAAAGTTTTGAACGTTTTCTTTTTTATAATAATAAAAAAGATCGAGATAAAGATCTAGTCTGAAGTCTTCAGGTCCATCTGACAAAGAAGAATGGATCTTAAAGCTTTCAGAACTGTATGGGAATTTACTTCATTCTTTTACCGATCACAACCTCGTGATTTATTATAGAATGTGTAACTGAGGGCTACTTACCTGCCCGAAAGGGGTTCTGAATGTGGATAATGTGTGCTGATGTCTAGATCAGTGACAAATGGTTAAAAAGACTGAATATCAAGCAGAATGGCTTAATTCGAAGCATTCTCTAGGAGCAACTGCGCTGTCTGAAGCGTAAGCCAGCTTTCTCTTTACATTTTATAAAAATGCATCCAAATTCAAGAATTACAGTCAGACCAAATTTTTTAATTAAGGTTTTTTTTAATCAAGGCCTTTCACAAAACAAAACCAGGTTGATATAAAATAAAAAATTGAAGAAAAAAAAATGCTTTTTTCTTATTGTAATTCACAGAGTAACTGTTTGGTAAAAGTGTTTATCGTAATTACACAAAAATCACAAATGCAGGTATTTTGTCGCCTCAGATCTGCAGTGGATCTGTTGCCGGTTGCAGTCCTTGCGTGTTACCGCTGAAGCAACAAGGCCTATGTCAAATCAAGACGGAAGACAGTAGAAGGTCACTATGTTAGGTCCAGGTGTGTGCACTTGGGATGACTGGTTTGCTTTCATACAGTAATTCACACAATTTGTCTGTGGACTGAACTGCAAGCTGTCCCACTCCATAGTTTTAGTTCTAACCTTTGACCGTTTTCGATAGGGGCGTGTTACTGTAGACCTGTGTAAATCGTTTTTTATCTACTGAAGCAACTCGTCCACACTTATCCGCAAAGAGTAGCACAGACATCAGGTGCTGAAGGTGTTTCTATTAGTAAAGGTTAGCGGCTTCTGCTAGATTAGGTCAGTTTGTGGATTTCTCGCAATTTTTCACTCAAGAAGCTGAATACGATTCTTATGGTTCTTGACTCTGTGAAGGCTTGTAGCTAGACGAGGCCGTCATTTCCCCTGAATGATAGACTTTCTGCTTAATCTCAGGTGTTTGCTCATTGATGGAGTTCAGGTTGTGTAGCAGTATGATAACTCAGATCACTTTTAACTGTTATTGTAACTGTAACACGCGCCACGCTGTCGATAGACACCTATCTAATGTTCTACAGTGGTTCTTAACTTTTTTTAAGAGTTTGTATTTCGAGGCTTCATCAGTCGTGCATCAGTATTTAACTTTACGGAAGCATTAGTCGATACGTGCATTAACTAACATCACACTGTTATATTGTCTCTGTAGTCTGGTAATTAAGCTGTCTCGCTATCCATTATGATATCCTGTAATGTAACGCTAGGAATAATTGAGGTCTTTGCATTAACTTTAGGCCAAAAGTCATAGCTAATATTAGTCGAACGAATCAGGTCAGTTTAGGATAGCTGTTGTTTGTAGTGTTGGCATGAAATCTCATCGTGGTCTTCTTTGGGCCCTAAAGCTTTTAGGGTGAATGGAGACTTAAGGTAGGGGCTGTTCTCTGTTTATTTTTTTATATTAGAATAGACCACAGGCACAGCTATAGTTGCTCACAGTACGACGGCACCGTTCTAGTCGTGTTTAACTCGGGATGAGAGCAGGAAATCAGAGCGATGCATGAGAATTCAATGCAAATCATAGGCTGTGAAAACTTCTTTGCGCCTTTACCACGGCAGATCCATTCCTACGCAGCTCTCTAGCTTCTCACGTTAGTTCATTTTGAGCGATGTGAAGCAGCAACCATGTTGTTTTGAAATGTAGGTGAACTGTACTGCTGATCAACATGGATTTGAGCAATAAAAATTCTTTATAAAATTCTCATGTCTGAAGTTCATCTTGTTGTTAATGTGTTAAGGTATTCTTTAGCAGCTAGCTGTTGTGTGTACATCAGTAGTACACTCGTTATGGAGGTGCATTATGGGATTGAATAAGTGCACTCAATGTCCACTGTTTTCGGACACCACTACAAAAGGTTGTCCCCTCGAATAGTGCACTATAGAGAGTTGCACAATTAATCAAAACCTAAATCGCAATAATATTTATATTATCGCCATAAATATTAGTATTGTTATTTTACAGTTATAATCTAAAATAAAATTATAATTTTTTTTCTTAAATACTTTAACAATTAAATATTTTTTTAGTAATAAGCAGTATTGCTTAAAATGTATTTTTAGTATTTTTTTGGAATTTTTATATTTTTAAATAATTATTATTACTACTGTTATTATATTTTTCTATCCATACTGATATATTATCAAAATTGTGCAGCCCTACAAACAAACACAATTTTTTAAGTCAAAATGATCAGAAAAATTACAATTAGATTCTTAACTAAAACTGTGCAGCCCTAGCAAAGGTATAGGGAGCGATTTTAGAGCTAAATTCCCTGCTAAACACAGGACATTGTTCCCTGGTCAGACAATTGCACTAATCATAATGTGATGGCATTTTTTCCTTTAATTAAAAAACCTGCATTCATAACATTCATCAACTGTGCATATGAACACCGACTTGAAATGAACAGCATGCAGATGTGATAAAATGTTCTTAAAGAAGCTAATGGAACGAGTTTATTATCAGATGATTGATCACATCGTAAACAGCTTTACTCACATGATGTGGGTGTTCGGTGAATAAAAATACTGCATTCTGCTCCCAGCATTGCTAATGCCACTGATACATAGAAAAGGATTTGCTTTAATTCACCATTTCAACATTATTAAGTTGGATGGCTGTTGAGTTACCAGGCAGGACTTCACATACTGCCTCCGTCCCCATAAAGAAACAAAAACCCACAGTGAATATTTACAGCTTGATGTTCCATTTTTATATTTACAAGTACTCCAAGAAAGTAAAAATATTAAATATTTCACTTCAGTGAGGTAGGTCACTTTTAAGGCTGATGTGTGACTTCAAAGACGGTAACCCACAACCAAAATCCACAATATCCATGTTATTACAGTCTGTAAATACAGAAGAATGGTATTAAATACCTCAAATGTCTATACTTTGCTGCACGATTCCACATCTTTTAAACCACAAAAGTCTGTTATGGACAGCTGATGTGCACTGGAATATATGTATAGTAAGTAAAAAACCGATAGATGAATAATTCTGTGATTTGTACATAAAGGCAGGATTCAGAATTCAAGACCACCAACAGTATATATAAATATAGATATTCCAAAAAAAGTCCCTTTTTCTTACTTGCATCACAACCCATGCCAGTAAAGCCATAGCAGTCTTCCAAGTAAAGAGTATGTAAAAATTACATTTCCATTTTTAAAAATGCGAGGCCACAAAAAAGATTTTAGAGCTCTTAAAAGTCACTTTAAATACAAATAGTAGCCACCCACAAAGCAGCCAAGGTGGACTGAATGACTGACTCCACACTGTTCCTTATCTGTTCTTCTTGTCTTGAGTGAGTCCATTTGTTTCAAGGCAATCCAGATGGAGATGTTGAGTGCTGTATTTACGGATCAGAGCTCCAGGCAGCAGAGCAACACAGGCAATAAACAGTAGTTTCAACACCACACTCCAGGAGAACAAGTCGTCCAGAGAAGAGATATGAGACAGCATTGATCCCGTCTGGACGCAGATGAAGTTGTACGGCATCAGGCCTGAAAGAAAATACAGATGTTTTAAATCAGTTCTACAAATATTAAGGGAAATGTTCTGAAATATCATCTACTGTCATTTAACTGTGTTTACCAATGAAGACAGCCATGAAGAAAAGAGTGACAGGAATATTCAGTATTGGTGAGGTCATGTTTAAGAACCAGTTTGGACTCATGGGAAAGAATCTCAGGAACAGCAGGAAAAAGAACAAGCTACTTCTGTTTTCCTCAACCTGGGAAAAAAAGTAAAAATTAGGAAAGTTTTGAACAAAATCAAGCAATGATACTTTGTATGTTGTACTTTCAGACATCTTAACTTGATGTACCTTCTTTTGCAGCATGGCCACTTTGTCAGGGAAGAGTCTCACAATGTGCTGTTTGCCGAACGCCTGGGACAGGAGGAAACAGAGAGTGGCGCCCACTGTGGTGAGGACACAGGCGAGGAGAAGACCATACCACGTCCCAAACAAGGCCCCAGCCAAGATGTTCTGTGGGGGAAAAAAAAGTCGTAAGATCAAAGTAAATAAAGGTGCATGTTGTACATAATGCTCTTGCTAATATGCATATGCCATTTGTCAAATTGACCTCCATTGGTTTTGATGTCATTTGCCAACACTACGAAATACATAAAACCTCTAGTGCAGCTTGTTAGAAACTAAAAAAACATGAGAAATTATGAACAGTTCTTTCCTTTGTGTTAGGGGTCAATTTGACCCATGTATTTTTTGTACAAATCCACCTGCATTGATAAAATATATACATTTTTAGTGACTGGTCGCACACTGAGGTGCAACTAAATACAACTAAGTATAAATAGTATCTAACATTATTTGTGTATGTTGTACATTTACATTTAATCATTCCGCTTTTATCTAAAACGACTTACAAATGAGGACAATAGAAGCAATCAAACCAACAAAAGAGCAACAACATGGAGGCTAAGTGCTGTGAAAAAATTTTTCTGGGTCAATATTTTTTTTTATAAC